AGCCTGGCTTAAATTAACGTAGAATCAACAGCAGCACTTATCCTAAAGGGGTGTTTGAAGGACTGAGTGTGGAAAGCGCTCAGGATCCCATATTATCACCGGTATGATATGAGCAAGAATTCATAGGGATTTGTCCTGTGGAACATCTCCAGCCCCAATCCTGACCAACGGCAAGACGAATTCTCTGCTGCAAAGCCACATCCATCCAGTACTGTCACTGCAGCAGAGCCTGGCTGGTATTACCGGTGCTGTGCTTCCAAGGATTACTAAGGAGAAAACAAGCAGTGTCCTGCAAAATAAAGACTGCAAACAACACCTGTTTATTTAAACCAGAGATAGCCCTACATTCTCCAAAGATAGTACATTTTCTTTAATCCCATTTAAATAATTGGAAATTTTCTGAAAGGCTGGGATTCCATTACAGTGCTATGGTTCCTGCAGGGAAATAGAGAAACTATCCACAACTCCTCAGTGGAAATGTAGAAATATCCCTCTGTGTTGGATATGGTGGCCCTGGCAGCCACTGGTGGCCTCAACTACCTTCCCATTACTCCGAAGAGTAATTCCCAGTTAATGCATCAAAATTCATCCACAGATCTCCACCTTGCTCTCCACATGTCCTGGCTAACATGATCTTTCCAACTGAGACCGGTAAGAATAGCAAGACGACGTATAGATAAGCCTATAGGTGGCACTCTTGCCCTGACACAACACTGAAGAACCATGAGGCACTGGTCCTCCTTTCCCTTGAAGGAGAGAGGCCCATTTCAGTTAAGAAACCTATTAAAAGCATTAATTCCACAAAGCACTTTCAATGAACATTTTCGATTTTATTGTCAACACACTTAAAAACGGAAACCTATGTTCAAAAAAATTATTTCTGAGAATACTGAAATAAAAAATATTTCACACAGAAGTTTGTTATTTTAACACAAACAGAAGTGAGACATGGAATATGCTGATCTGTATACACGTGCTCCAAGCCACCGGTAAGAAGTGTACCACTACAGAATTGTCACACAGGCTTGGAAAGTGAGCACTTCAATGTTTTAAAGTATCACCTCTGCATTTCTAGTATTACACATTTACTTGGAAATTTCACAGCAGTGGACAGAGAATGTGATAAATTTGTCTTCCAAGGTTTGTTTTGAAAGCACCATGACAACAGACTGTTCAAAGTACTTCCTTACAGAGGGAACTCTAAACAGAGACGATTATTGCACTTACGGCTTTTTAGGGGTAATGTTTATTATTATCTATAACAGGTTTGTGAATATACAATAACAAGCAAAATCAGTATTTCCTGGTAGTTCCTCCTGGAAAGTAAAACCAGCACCACCCATTTAAAATTTGTTCTTTTTATACTAAAGAAAACAAACTCTTATATTCTATACAAAATGCATGTGCTTGGCCAGGCATTGACCAGCCTTCCCTTCTTCTAGATTCTGTAAAACTAAACTAACCCAAACACGCAAAACTTCTTTATCGGTTAGCAGCAAAGAAGTTCTGCCAACTTTACACAATAAATAGATTTCTGCTTAACTTAAATTTATTTCCAAGTGACATGACTAAACAAGTTGTATCGGACAGTGACACATGTATCACGCTCCATCATCAAGACCCTAAGCTTAGTCAGAAGTGGAGAGAGGAATGGAGCAAAGGGAAAGGAATGCCTGGTCTAAAACAACTGAAAGATTTACACTGCCCTTTGCTTTTCTCTTAAAGGTCCCAAAGAAAAAGTTTTCTAAAGCTACCTCAAGGTTACTTCTCACTCAAACAACTCATTCAAAATTCAATTTTGAACAGCATCTTTTCCTGAAAAACTGAGACACCCCTGCAGTCCAACACTTAATGACATTCCTGGCTTGTAACAACATATATTCATCACTCTCCTCTCCTCATCGTTTGCTTGATCGCTTTTCATGCTTATCCTTTGTGTGCTGGTTCCTGTTTTGGTGTCTCGGAGGAGAGTAGCTGACTCTCCTTCTGGACTGAAAGCTGGGTGTGTATGGGTGAATTCTGTGTTTCTTTGGTTTTTCTTCTTTCCTGCTTTTGTTTGGCTCAGGCTCCTTACTGTCTTCCTTTTGCTCACGTTCTTGGTCTTGTTCTTTTTGAGATGGTAACGTGTTTTTGATGGTATTAATAAGAAATCTTTTATTTGTACCAGCAAGAGGACATTTCAACCTGTAAAGACATGTAAAAGTGATCAAAAGTCAAGACAAAAACATGCCAAAACAAGTCTGAGATTTTAACTTCAATAATTTTAAGACAGGTTTGTGCTTTTGGCTTTCCTTGCATGCCACCTAGTGTAAACTCTCAGTACAGAAAGATATGTTCAAGGTTGTCTCCATTCTCCTTTTATCTTACGCTTTATAGGATGAAAATTATTTTACTTCAATGCAGTGAAAATCCACATGATTTTCACATGGTAGTGTGTGCAGGCGGAAGCAGAGAATGACAATATATGTTAAGGTTGATGGTGATTAACTTCGGTATTCAGAAATCAACTATTTAATAACATACTCTAAGTCAAATTGGAATGGTTTACAAGACCAACTTTACCTACTAAAGTCAGCATTACTTAACGAGCTGAGATACTTAGAAAGTATAAGATACACTTGCTTGAAGAACCCAAACAGCTGTAGGTAATAAAGCAGACACAAGGCAGACTGATTTTAATTTGTATTTGGCAACCACCAAACAAAATATTTAATTTCTTTTTTTAAACAGGAAGGATACTTATCCAACACTCTTCCATTGTTTCTAACTTTCTCCTCTTGCAGCTTAACACTTTTGCTCATAATTTATGAGCTAGTTTTAGTAAACCAGTACTCTACATTTTATTTATCTTGTTGGTATCAGCTGTATGATACTTATTCCCAATTTATGTTTTCTTAAAAAATAGAATGAGAAAAAAACAAGTTTGAATATATTCCTGCAGTAAGCAGAAATCACTCTGAAAAGTAAGAGCCACTGTGGTGTTTGTCTTCACAACACTTTTGAGCCTGCATGCTAATAGAGAAGTTACAGGATGACTCTAAAAAGCAGCGCTCTTGGAGATCACAGTGCCACTTACTGAATCAACTATGGAGTCAATGAATCCTACCACCACAACATGAAGATCATCTATTCTACTTGAATATTTTGTGCAAGTGTATAAACTACACCCTGACCATTTAAAAACCTTTGACACCTCTGAATAATTAGAGGTATCAGAACAACAAGATGATTTTAACAAAGATCATGTCTGTTTATTTAGCATACTTCATGACTTCTAACTGGACATGGCATTTACCACGGTGTTTGCTTCAGGTCTGCCTACTAAACATCACTGGTAATTATTCTTGTTCTAAATCCTCTAAGAACTTACAGTCGTTTTAGAATTATACATTAAACAGCCAAACTGTTTTACTTCTGCTAGGTATGTCTTGACACATTTCTACAGCACAGCTAGCTTTAGAGTTTTCTAAACTTTCTGCATATAAATCTACACTGTTTTGCTCAAATCCTGGTTGAAAAATTTTTTTTTTTCAAAAGTCTAGATCTGTATCTGGTATAGCTAATACAAGGCTAACATATATCAGTAGAATAGGGTTTCTACTTCAAGCTACATCAGCTATGAATGTGGTGCTGAACATGCCATAGCACAGGTTACACTCAAGACATAGCACAAAATAGCAACATTTAAGTCCTCTGCATGTCTTATGCTAGCATTGAACTGTTGTACCTCAACATTTCCTACCAAGGAGGGCAGCTTTCTCCAGGCTGTATCCAGGCAAAAGCTATTTCACATTTGCCTCCTTCCTTTTGTTTTTTCTTAAGAGCTAATGCATCGATTAAGCACTAATATATATAGCACCAGAATGAGACAATGTGCCCTAAATAAATTCACCTTGCTGAGGTATTTATTTCTTTTTGGCACTATGTGTGCTGCCTGAGCTATACTAAGAATGAAAACTGATGACAAATGCAGGGCTTCAGAGTCAGCTAAGAGATGCCATTAGTTCACCATCATACAGTGATAAAAGTGAGCCACCAGGCTTTCAGGGAACTGCAGTAAGTTATGGCATTGAACAAAAACATCAGTCCTTTGTTTTACTGACCTCAGACTTCAACAAAGCAAATTCTGCCTTTACATCTTAAAGGAAATCAGATGTATGGCACATGTTATATTGCACATGCACACACACAAGCCCATAATGTTTATATATATCCATGGTATATATGGAGCTGTGAAGATTCAAAGTGAATTGTGTTAATCCACTGATATCTTTGAAAGCATTTCTAATGGTGAGAAAATTGTAGAATACTTCTACAGTTGAACTCCCTGAAGACAAGTCTTTGGCTTGCTATAGGTCTGACCCTGCAATGCTCAATTCAATGACAGCTTTGCCCTCAATGTAAATTCTGAAGGGCTGGGAGGCAAGCTCAGCCTATGCAAGGTGGAATGCAATACTGCTGGCTGGTGAACAGTGCCACAGAAAAGATTTTAAAAGCTTCTCTTAAAAAAAAAAAAGACATGTTAAAAGAACATTAAAGCTCCAAACTGAAGCGTGCCTGAAGCAGGGCTGCAGGCGTGACCAAAGCAAGCATGCAACCTGCAATTCAAGAGCAGTCTCGTCTACAAAACAGACTCCAGTTCTGTAGCAATGTGTTCACTCAAAGTAAGCGTTCACTTTTTGCTTTGCATGCTCCAGTAAGCTAAACCAAGCTATCCTGATGCACAGAACCTCTCCTCCTCCACATATAAGTCCCCCACACGCCAAAATCTCTCCACTATGCAATGACGAAGCGTCAACATTGCCTTTTGAGCAAGAAAAAAAATCCATTACTGCAAACACAGGTAAAATCTTAACTCTGCTTTTGATGTTTTAAGCCAACTTCTGCGCAATAACACAGAATTTCCAGCCAATATCTGTCATCAAGTGTAGCTGTGCAGTTCATCACAGAAGTGTACAATACAACTTCTTATCAGTAAAACACGTGGACACCATTTAAGACACAAGAATACAGTGCCATGTGCCACAGTCTTTTCTCTGCTGGGTAACTTGATGTTATCTAACAGGCTTGGCACAGTTAGCCTCAGCATACAGCATAAATCAGATCTTTCCAGGAAACAGAGTTCGTTATGCATGAACTTCCAAACTGCCATGGAAAATAGAGTACTTAACAGAAGAGTGACTGAAGGCAAAAAAAAAAAAAAAAAAAAAAAAAAAAAAAAGCTGCTAGAGGTTGTTTTGCCAAACCACCTAACCTAGGCTCTTATCCTTTCAATAGGGGATCTCACAAAAGAGGATGCTTGGGAGGACACTGCGAGCTTTTAAATATGGTCTTTGCAGCTAGATACAGCTGGCAGGACTTTGGATGGGAATTTGTGCTCTGATCACAAGACTTTAACATATTCACTTTGCAACCTCTGTCTGTACCCTGTTTCTCCTCCTCTTCACATTCAAATGAAAGAGACATAGCGGAATCAGATTGCAGTGTTTCTGCAGTCATGCAACACCCTTTCAAAGACAAGATGCAATACAACACTTTGCAGTTCCAGTGCTCTCAAACCCTTTGGTCTTATTTTGTATTCTGCAGTACTTCTAACAAATTTGGTATTGAACAGAAAGCTATCTACAGGAATGAAAGCAATTTTAGGATTGCTTTACTATAAATAGGGTTAAAAATAATTTAATGCTTCCAACATTTATCTTCTTTTTGCAAATTCATCTGCTCTTAGAATGCAGAGCTGAACAAACCATCCCAAAATATCCTGTTTTCCTTATTTTAGGTATTTTAGTAAGCAGAGAAGATTATGTTCAGTTCAGCCTTAGCTCACTTGCTACCGGTACCTTTGAAGATCAGACCTACACATTGGAAGGTGAAAAAAAAAAAAAAAAGCAGCAGCCTCTAGAACTTGTTCACACAGTAGCTTTTGTGGCATTTTAACTGCCTTTCTCAGTTAAGGCAGAACAACTCCTTAAAATGAGACCTAAACTCTACTGTTGTGAGAAGCTTATTGATTATGCACATAGGACTGACAAAACCACTTAAAGAAAGCTGAGCTTTTACCTTGATTTTACCTAGGCACACAATGGAAATCCCAGTATTTTACAGTTTTATTCCATCTGATGAATCAAGGATACATTTATCTAACAGTTTCAAATGTTCTTACACTATTTGTGCAGAACTTCCCATCCTGGATCCTGCTGGCCCTTCAAGTGTTAACTTTTGGACAGCTGCTCTGATGTCTTTTTTCATCTCAGAAGTTCCAGCATCACAGCAGCATCATTGAGATTTAGCCACAGATTCTGCTCTCTTTTGCTCAACGTTTCCAGGATTAAGACACCTTCAGAAAAGGATCCTCTCTGCCCCTGCTCTCACACATTTTCTTGCTTGTGATTAGCTCCACTAATGCTTGAACTAGATACAACATCAGCAGGATCTACATCATGTGGTATTATAAAGACGTAGGAAACCCCCAACAAGAATCACTATGGCCATAAAGTACATACAAAAGAGCACTGCAGGAGCTAGAAATACTGCAGTGCTGAGAGCAAGAATCTTGAGGACATCCAAGGAACACATCAATACGCAAGAGACAATAATGAGAGATCTACAAATATCCAGTATTTCTGACAGTTGCTCCATGTCCAGAGAGTCTCAGATAATCTCCCTTCCTGCATAAGCTGTTGCCTGATATCACTGCCAACCTCTCCGTTTTGGACAAGCCTTTCTTCTACTAGCATCTAGCCCCTACAGGTTGCAGCACCTACCCATGTCATCTACAGCAAACTTGTAAGACAATGTAACATTGGCAAAACATTCCCAAACTGGAACAAATACTAGCAATGCTGTCCCGTCTTTCAAGGCTGAGTCTTTGTATCAGAGGCTGTGGGCTAAAGGATGACCGCTTGGTACATTTTTTCCATACCTGTCAGCTATGCTAGCTTGGATGCTTGCAACTTAGGCTCAAACAGCAGATCTCTATCTCACACCAGGACACAGCAAAAAGTTGTGTAGGGATGCTTGGGAAACTTCTTTAAGCAGTGCCCCTGAGCTATGGAGAACTAATCACTCTGGATAGTAATGGAGCAGTGGCTTTAATTTGAAAGCAGTCCCAAAACCATGTTCAGAGGCTTGCTGGCTAAGGTTTTGCTGCCGTCAACACCCACCAGGAGACACTACTCCTTTGTAACAGTATGCACAATATAGTTCCCCGGGAATGCCACCTCCCCACACACCTCCCTTTAACCAATTCCTGTCAAATGCCACTGACTACAGAAAGGTATTTCCCAACAGCTGCTGAAGGTCAGCATAAACTGGAATCAGCGAAGTATGAGAAGTAGCAGCCTCTGCTTCTCCTTACCCAAAGATAGATGGCAGAACAAATCTTTTCTTCATAGGCCGAGTTGCTTCAACTATCCAGTGCCAATGCAGGACTGATGGCCTTACACTAGATGTCTCCAGGGTTTGTGCATCTCTTCTCCAGGACTCCTCTGACAAAGGGCTGAGGAAATCCCAGAAGTCCTCATGAAACACACCTGTAAGCATTTTGAGTTTGGCAAGGAAGGAAGGTTTTGTGTTTTACCTGTTAAGACTTTGCTTTTAGACAAGTTGGTGATGACCTTGTCTCTTTGCTTCTACCAGTTATGCTTTCCTGGATTTGGTCTACTAATACACATTTTCATGAACTAACTTTTCTGCTCATTGAATTTGATATCAGCAAAGCTCAGAGCAGCAGTTATCTTCCTCTCCATAGTTTACAGTTGCAAGGTTACACATCAGTCCTAAATCTAATCTCTGAAGCCCTTCAGGATTTACCCTAACATCAGTTACATCTGATGACATTTTACTGGACTGTGATACTAAACTGACCACAGTTAAGTTTCCTTCCAAATATCATACAGGTTATCTCATCTCCCACATATATATGCAATACCTAGTTGCTGGGCCAGTTCAGAAGGACCAGAATAGCACTACCAGGCATGAAAAATATTAAAGGGAAGAGAGCAGCGGCAGCTTCCAGCTGCTGTTCTGTGTCTTGTGCTTGCAGAACTGGACACCAAAGAACTTATTGGGAGCCTGCCTATGGGGGCTTCATATGTTTCTTATGGCTACACACCCACCAGCTGTACATTAGCCTGTGCCAAACTCTATGGCAGCAGATTTGTGACAAATGGGATTACTACCAGTATCTCTAAGGATAGGGATAGCAGAGAGGGAAAAATCCCTGGAGAAGTGTCATATACAGAAAAATCATTTCTGAGTGCAGAACATCCTGAGCTGCAGACTGCCCGAAGCTGGGATAGTACCTTGAGGAAGCACAGCTACTTCACTGTACTTTTCTTCCTCCATTTCCTAGGCACTGGCTATCGGCCACTGATGGAGACAGGGCACTGCAGAGATGGAGCCTTTTTTTGACCCCAGTATAGCTATTCTTATGTTCTTCTGCTGTTGAAAAGGATCCTTACTTCAACAGTCTCAGTTCAGGATATCACCACGCCAACCCCTATGTCAACAGTCTTCCTCTGCCTGAAGCCTTCTTGACGATCCTCTTCTCCCCCTACACCTTTAACACAACCCTGACTCAACCAGCCACTATTACACTCCAGTGGAATCTGCAGCTGTTCTGAAGAATAGGCCACCTTTGGCTACCCCCTCCTCCCGCAGGTCTTGAGCATCAGGCATTGGCAAACTGCATGTTACCCCAAGCTGATCGTCAGTCAGCTGAGCAGGACGCCTGCTCTTTTACAGACAAGGAATAAGAGACAGCTGAAGCCAGGAGAAGAAGCCCATCCACGCTCCTGGCATGTATTCTAGACTGCACAAGTGGCAGCAAAGTTGCACAGGGACAATTAGTTATCTCCCAACAAAAATGTTTAGTCTCCACAGCTGGAATTAACTTGCAAATTCACTGTAACTGGATGCACGCAACACTTCACGGTGCTAACGATCTGCACTGGTTTACCTGGCCATTTGGCAAGGCTTACAGGGTAAAAGCATGCTGTATCAGTATAGCTATAACCACTCTAGGGGATTAAATCAATTTAACTATTTTAACATATAGGGTATAAACTGCATCCCTAGCAGAAATACTGGGTAAAATATACAAAAACCCCACAACTTGTTTAGAAAATATAAAGGATTAACTTTTTTTCAGCAAGACAGTATTTTAATCTCTTCAGAGCTACTAAAACAAACATAGTCAAGAAATCAGCTGAGAACTTCATTAACAGCACAAGCTTATCTTTTACTACTGTTGGTGGAGGAAGCCAAACCCTATCTATAAATGAGTTTAACACAGCCAACTGGTGCACTACCTGTGTGAACATCCCTATATCCGATAGCTTCTTATCAAAGTCATACACATTATTTTAAGATGAATGACTCTTCTCAGCATGTTATTACTTCTTTAATTACAATTACATGCATTACATGATAATCTAGCTGTAAAAACTGAAATACTGCATTGAAGAATTAATGCTGTATTTCACTTAAGATTTAAATACCGTGAATCTTTTCCCACTATATAAATTAGTCTTTTTTTTTTTTTTTTTTTTTAGTTTTAAAAAATACCTCCTTCCAAAATTGTGTTATACTTTGAGTTAATTTTTGGCAGCAATTTACACATGGGTTCTGTACTAGAGGATCGTTTATTACTTTTATTGTTTTAGGGGTTTAGGTTTTTTTGTCTGGCTATTAATTCTTTTAACTTAAAAGAGAATCTAACCCAGTAACATGTGGCCAGTATGTAAGTACATGCACACTGAAGCTACCCAGTATTTTAGAGTCATAAGGTTCCAATCCAAACTTTGCAATTCCATCTACTATAAGGAAATACTATTACAGAAGCTACCCCAATTTTCCTATTGCTTTGACTTCAACACATTCAGTCAAGCAATTTCATGCAGGCAGAATTTACTTCAACTTCCTTCTTATCTTGATTCAAATTTTTGCCCAGACAAATTAATACCTAGATGAAGACAAATTATTTAAACATGAAGCAAATGAAAAGGTAGAGACTTCTGTCACACATTAAATGTAAAATCTATTTGGGCATCGGTCATAGCATTCATTTCCTCTTGGCACAACTTACCAACCCATAGCTCCCATTGTTTCAGCTCTGGTTCTCCCACGTTTTGCCTCTTTAAGTAACTCTTCCACAGCCTTCCTAAATATAAGGAAAAGAAAAACGTTACCGCTTGCAGAACACAAGAACTTGCCACTTTATGTGCTTATGCAAATAAAGTGGAGAGCTTCTTCACTGCAATGGACTAAGCAATAAGGAGGCTACGAAAATCACCTTGACTTTCATTTAATCTTGGTGCATAGGAATCTGAATTATCTCAATAAGAAACATTTTAACATATTAAAAGCAATTAAAGCTGTTGCAAATACAACAGCTGCAATACTAATTGAAGAGTAGAAGTAAAATGTGCAAAACTGGTGTACTACACTGAAAAGCACAGTCCCTGCTGCTTCACCTTGGGAATGCTCTTCCCGGCTGTTGCTTCACTTAGGTTCTTCCAGAAGTCTTTTAACCACAGCAGACCTATTTTGAGCAGAGTTAAACAGCACCAGTAAAATACCAAGCAGTCAGATGACAGTAAAATCACTGCAACTACCAGCTGTCAAACTGCACTAGCTTTGTGTAACAGTGGAAGAAAAGAGCTCATCTTTGTGACTTGGATCCACCACCACCCAAAATGGCCAACCTTTACATTACCAGCATCTTCTAGAACAAACTGGAGAGACTAACACTAAAGCAATTGAATAAATAATAAAAAAAAAGTCACAGAAAAAGTCATTGGAGAGTGTAAATTATGCAAATTGTAGATAACTCCTGCACTGTCAGTCTTTCAGTTCTCTTTACAAATGAATTTCAATGTCAAATAAAACTTAAGTAACTGCTCTACCGTACATGGTTGAAGTTAATGGGAAAACAAATGAACAGCTACTATGAGCCATTTATTATATAAATTGAATGCATAAACTAATGATTTGGTTAGTCAGCTGTAAGCAACCATGTGTGTTAACCAAAAATAACTGCAAGACAGAAAAGGAAAGCTATGCACCTGGCCATAATACCCAGTATATGAAGCTAAGCATTAACAACACTGACATGGGTGAGACTGAAGGCTTGAGGAACTGAAGGTAGGCGGTAATGAAGAAGGTATTTATTGTTTAGTTATCCCAGCTATGATCTGCCAGTATAGCTGCTGGTGTTTGGACTATGTGAGCAACACAATCATCACCGTGACAGTACAAGTGTGTGTGTAGACTATGCAAAAAAGGTAACTGCCAACAGACTTCAGCTCAAACTTTAAGGAAGCCATGTCCCATCATGTTGTTATGGTATTATTGGCATAGCAGGATTTTGCTGCTTTGCCATAGATTAAAAAAAGCCCGAGTATCAATTTTGTTGTCAAGCCAAAGTTGAGACAAGAGAAGTCAAAAGTCATCATCTAATAGCAGAAGCAAATCTGAGAAGAAAAGCAAGCAATTTATATGGCAGTTCCATGTGAAGATCTAACAAGTTAATGCTGGGCTCTAAATATCTATTTGTTTATTACTATTTGGGTTATTAAAGTCTAGATAGAAAACACAAGAGGTCTTAGCTTTAAATGCATACACTGCATGTGCATAACAGGGAATGAAAATAAGTAGTACAGAATTTCTTTCAGTAGCTAATGAGAAAACGTTATGCAGTTACACAGCAGCCTACATCTGTCCATCTAGAACTAACCTTCTTCAGTTTGTTATGGTCTTAATATAAGCCTGTACTGGCTCCCTTCACATTTGTGATTGTGGATTCATTCATTCATTAGGGTAGGCTGGTGACATTTTATAAACACAGACACACTTTTTCTTCTGTCTGTATTGCTTTTGGGCATGCTTTGGTTTTCCCTGGCAACAGAATACAAATCAGTGCTAAATTAGTGCAAGTGTAATGTAGACCAAAGTGTAGCTGCTCTTTCTACAGTTGCTCTGCAGTTCTGCTTGAATATAGTTTTCATATTTTACACTTAAAACCAGCTATCACAGAACTATTTCCTCACTTTATAGTAATTTCCAGCAAGCAATACTTCAGCGAAAGACTCCTAACAAGCCTCCAGAACCAGTCACAAGTTCTTAAAAAAAATATGACTAATCCTTGATCAACTTACAGATACATATTCCTTTGTTGCAAAGGGAAACCATTTCATCCAGCAAAAGCTGAGATCTGTGCCAGACAGACATGCAAATACTCCCAGGTCATAACCTTTTCCTTTGAGAGTCTGCATTTGAAGGGCTTTGCAAAGGAAACTGTGCAAGACTTCCACAGAAACAACAGTAGAGAAATACACCAAAAATCGTAGTATTACTTATCCGTGCACTAGTCTATTAATGGCACATTGGTTTAAGGTTCCTCACAGAAGTCCTTCTCTCATATAAGGTTATTAGTATAATCTCAGTTAGCAGCTGGGCTTGGGGTACTTCAAATCCTTTTTTAAGTATACACCTGATGGCGAGGACATGGTCATATCACAGGCATTCATGGAAACCGAGTATCTGCCCAGGTAAGCTGTTACCTGTTTGAGTTACCTGCAACTAGATGCTAAGTACAGTGTCAGCAACCTCACCAGCTACTGCTGCCTTCCCAGGTAGGAGCAGTAGGGTGTGTGGGACGGCGACTCACCATGAACAAAAAGGGTAAGAAACACAGGCTCTATCACTAGCACATGGGAGATGTTGCCTACACAGGTCTCCATGAAATTACGTCAAAATTTGTTTTTCCTCCAGACCCCGAATTTGCTATCTGAGCAGCCTGAGCTAGTTTATAGTGATGACAGCAGGAACTCATGGCCTTTATAAAAGTTTGTCCTGAGCCTTCAAACAGCAATGTCAGATGAAGGGGAGGAAGGAGTCGGGGAAAAAAGCATCTGACTGACAGTTACTAAACTTAGTGATTCTGTTTTGAGAAATCTCACTAGGAGGCACATTAAAAGCCACTATATGCCATTATTTTATAATTAAAATCATAAACCAAAGTATTCGAGCTACAAAGCACTAATAAAACACACACCAATTTTAAACAGCTACAACTCAGTTTTAGGGGAAACACCTCAATAAATTAATAAGGTGACACCAATTATATTAATTTAGGCAGGAATTATAAGCCATTAAGTATTTGAGACTTTTTTTTGTGTGTGTGTTCTGGTTATATCAAAGATCAGACTGACTTGGCATCCAACTTAGTAGCCTTATAAGTTGACATCTTCCTTTCTTATCCAACATTGCTTCCTATACTGGTCTGTCAATACCACTCTTATTCACTGGACCTTTACAAAGCCCTTTCAACCTCCACAGACAAATGAAAAAATGCTCAGATCCTCTCTGAAATAATGTGTTTCCACTCACTGAACTTATACCCTCTATGCAAGTAAGCCAAAAGCTTAAAAGCTATGCAAACAAGGTTTTTACATTTGCTTTTAGAGGCCTTTTGGGACTCTACATTCTTCACTCTCTTCATTTTTACAGCTTGGTTACAACACAAACCTTCCTGTGGCTGTTAGCTTCAACTCCAAGAGCAGAAGCATGAGCAAAGGGAACACAGCACACAACTTTCACATGAGAACCACCCAAACACTGGGGGACTGATGGGAGGGAGAATTAGGGACAGGGGCACATTTGGGAACACTGTCATCATTCTGGCATCTTTTATAGCAAGCACCACTTCAAACTTGCTGTGGCAATCCTTTTTGAGCGATCAAACTTAGCTGCAGAATTACAGTAACATGAAGGTATGAGCAGTGATGTTTTGATCCTCAAGAGTATGGTCCAAGATGTATTTATATTTCTGAGGAATTAGACTTTTTCCTCTATGTTCAAAGGCTACAGGCAAAGCTCCCGTTGCATCAACCCTAACAACTTGTATCACAAATGCATGTGCCCAAAGAATGGGAGAATGTTAAAGGCTCCAATGTCAGGCAAAACTAGAGCTACTTTCTGTTCCTCCCTCAGGGCAAGAGCTTCATCATTTTTTCTGAAAGATCAAATAGATAGACTAAAAAATTAATAACTGGTAATAAAGAGGTATGTCTGATACAGTGAAATGAAAACACCATGTCATTACAGATATCACCCAATGTTTGTAATTATAGACTACTCTGTTAGAAGGCATATCATGTCAGGTCTGACAGCCAAGAGGCCAGGCAGCCACAACTCCATGACCAGGTCGCATCAGTAGCAAGGCTGAAAATCTACTCCCAGAAGGCACACACATACCCCACAAGTATCTACCACTGGCCCACTGATCACAGACAGACACACAGAGTGTTCACACCAACAGCCTCATCCTGCTCTTCTCTCTGGCCAGCGTAAGAGTCCTAGAATCATAGAATCGTTGCATTGGAAAGGACCTTTAAAGATCATCTAGTCCAACCCCCTGCAATGAGCAGGGACGTCTTCAACTAGATCAGGTTGCTCAGAGCCTCTGAATAGCCTCAGAGAATAGGAGAGTAGTCAGGAATAACTAAAGATGAATTAGTGACTGTAACCAGTGAGGCCACAGATGTTTAAGGAAATAGTAGAAAATGAAAGTACACAATAAACAATATTAAGCTTGCTCTGTTTGGGGGGACAGGTCAAACATCAGCATTGAAGTATGCTATTTTTTTCCGAAAATATGGGCCAAAATTTTTCTTTTCTCCCCCAGAGGCTTCAGCCCAACTCCACTGCTGGTCACACAGAGCTGGCTGGGACTCCCTGGTCCCCCAGTACCCAACCTCACTGCAGTCTTGCCCACAGAGACACACAAGCACACAGACATCTTGCCCCTGGAGACCCCCTGACCCTACAGTCTCTCCAGCAGCTGACCAGGACTCCCCACTGCCTCCAACAGCTAGCTCCTCCCATGGTCTTGCTCTTAAGAGATACATGCTCACCTCTCAGCTCTCACCTTATTCACCTACTCACCAGCTGATCCAGCTTGATCTTCACTAGCAGCCACATGATCCCTCACACACCTACTCTTTTCTCCAGTACTGCAGCACAGATAAATAGGTCCAAATCCCACTCCAGTGGCTGACACTTGATTTTAATCTATGAAGTGTTCCCAGTCGCTGGCACCCAGCCCTCCAGCCCAGGGTCCCAGCCCAACTGCTGGCATCCAGACCTGCACTTGTTTCAGTTGCTGGCACCATAGACACACAGTCCCTCCGACTTATGGTTTGACTCTAGTTGCTAGCACCGAGATGTACACCCTCTCTCCTCAGAGTCCCTCACCCAAGAGTTAGGAAGGAATTTAACAGGAAGACAGGACAGACTGTGCTG